CCAAATCCCAAATTCCCAAATCCCAAATTCCCCAAATCCCAAATTCCTCTAATTCCTCAAATTCCCGAAATTCCCTAAATTCTCCAAATTCCACAAATTTCCCAAATCCCAAATTCCTCTAATTCCTCAAATTCCCAAAATTCCCTAAATTCTCCAAATTCCACAAATTTCCCAAATACCCCAAATTCCCCAAACGCCCGAACTCCCAAAATCCCCCAAATTCTCCAAATTTCCCCAATGTAAAAATTGTCCAAACCACCATCATAAAATATGATCATATCTATTTTAAAAACTTGACATTAGTAAAACCTAACCTAAGCCAGATAAAAGCTTATCGACCTCACCGTACAAGAGGCTACCCATTATTCGCAACCGATGTTAAAAAATAAAGAACAAAAATAACCGATGAATAGCTTGTTTATCGATGTTAAACTGATAAACAATTCGCAGTGCAGTGGGAGTGGAAAATGTTAATTAACGTTCGTTAAAAATGGCAATATCAACGATCTCCGCTAATCGATCTCATTTTGTCGGGGGATTAAAGCAATTTTATTGTGATCGAACAGATTAGAATTTATTTTTTCTTCTTCGCCGACGACGAGTTTTATCGTCGTAAGACTTCTATCTCTGTGCGCTATTCTGAATTAATCGAACGAGTCGATACAATCGAATGTTAATTAACGTATAGCGATTATGAAACTTCGGGTCAATGGGTGATCATTTAACTTCGCTGGTGTTCGATGCAAGGGTATCTATTGTTCGAGATCTTTTATCGACTATTAATTTGCCTTGTACGATTTTTTAATGCAAGAATTACTCTTCTCTTTATGGGAAGAGTAATCTTTACGTAGGAAACCTTCGAAAATAGCAGAATCACTCGCGGATGTTCGACGATGATTTATCAATCCACGTGCAAATTTCGTGTGACTAATTCCGTTAATGAGCGGGGTCACGAGAACCCAAGATCAATCTCCGTGTCTCAAACTCCATCTACCACAACTACCAAGTTTAAACTCGTAGCAGAAAATGTCGAGAACAAGGAATTCCTTTCTTTTTCGCTAGATTCACCCGACGACTCGAATCTTTGATCAGTTTGATTCGAACAAGACAATCTCGCCGTGCGATCGATCCGTCTGACACCTTCGTTTTTTATTTCTACCACTTTAATTTCACACGACACTAGAGCTTGATAAGTTCGATCGATCAAGGTTTATTAAAAGCTTCGATATCGATGGTTCGTTTGAGTTACAAAATCAAAGCAAACGATTTTCCGATTCTTGATAATCGAACATGTTCAATATATTCGCAACTTTACGACCGAAATTAATTATTTCGTACGGAAAACTTTTGTCTCGAACGATAAAACTGTGGAAAGTACGTTGTTCAATCTTCGTCGATTGATAAATCAGTTCTTCATCGATTATCGATGCTACGATTTCATTGGACACCTGACTTCGATTATCATAAGTATCTTTTTAATTATTATATAGATAACGGTATCGTAATTCTTTATTTAAGAGTTTTTCCACCTGTCAACCGAGAAATTTAAGATGTACAGCGATTGCTTAGGATTAAAATCAGTTAGAGTGGCTGGGATCGGTAGGTTAGAATGTGGGTCAAATTACGACCGAAATACGAAGAATATTAAATGAGATACTAATAGAAGGGTTGTTTTAAATTCATGTACTTTATTGGAAACGCGATTGCAACTTACAGAAAGATTTATCACGACTTTTACCTCCGAAACCAGACGAAAAGACATAAATTATGGAAACCGCGAATCCGTCTCGCTTATATGAAAACAAAACCGTATATTATTTTCTATCAAGAGGTATCAGTATGTTCCTCAAATTATCTTCAACAATATTTGTAAATAAAGATATCGTCTTTTTTAATTTCACGGTATACAAAAGACCTCGAAAAAGCTGATTGTGTAGCAACAATCACATTACGTTGTATATTACACAGTCGCATTGTACATTACAATAATAATTGCTAAACTTTACTGCAACGACAATAACCTTACACGTATGAAAAACGCGCAGAAAATAATCATATTATAAAATATAACCGTCATGAATTTCCAATGTAAAAGAAACGAAAACGGTTCACAACAGCTACTTAAAAACAATCGTATATCTTTTCATTATTTACACATGATGCATGTTACCTTCGCGCCACGACAGATTCCAGTGTATAAATCATTCTCGGGTGCTTCGAGAACATCAGCGCGCTCGTATAAATAGCGGGGCAGAAAAGTGGCGAATTTTCTCCTCGGCGGCAGAAATCCATTTTCGCGACAGTGAACGCGTTAAAGATTAGCCACTTGACGATCAAAAGGAAGAAAAAAGAAGGTACAAGAATCATCGAGACACAAGTTGAACGATATCGGTGACGGAACAGTCGATTTTCCTCGTCGGCGGAGAACCGAAAACAGGGAACAGAAGCGCAACGAGACGAAAGCAAATGAATTCGATTCTGCCGGTTAATTGCACTCGCAACCACTTCGACCTGGTCGTGGTTAAATACCCTGGCCCGATCGATTCGTTTACCTTAATTGTCGCCGGTTATTCGTTAACGAGCTTGTCGTTTTCTGTCAGCCC